ATTTCAAGATCTCATGATTGAAAGTTTTTGTTTTTGCGGGCTCTCTAAAAGAAGTGGTTTGTCCGAATTTTATCTTTTATAAGATTTTCTGGTAATATTTTATTTGTTGTGTTCTGGTATATATTGTTCATATTTAAGTTGGTTTCAATTAAATGTGGAGTGTAATTTATTGTGTCTTGATTGTTATCTGGTTGTTGAGGATTGGAACTGATAATTTCATATAGGTAATAATTCGATTCAATTGGTGTTTCATATTCAAGCTCTATTTTAAGGTTATCAATAATAAGTGTGTTTTCTGTGTCATTTTTGTCATCTGTGGTTTCGCAGTGTGTGTGATTTAACAGTAGTTTTGAAGTTTCCGTACTGTCGTTACCTGAAGGGCCTGAAATTGTTTCTTTTGTGAGTTTTACTTGATTGATAAGTTTGTCTATGATGCTCCGGTGTACAATTTCTGTTGTTTTGATTTTGCGTTTTTGAATGATGAGAATTATTCCGATGTGGTGACTGAGAATATGTGCTTGATCTGATTTGATTGTTCTTGTTTCTTTTTCTAGAATTATCATGGGAACTATTATTATAACTATTATAATATGGTCTATTGTTAGACTAGTTTTGTTGTCTGTGATTTGAGTAGATTGTTTATTTGATTAGTTTCGGTTTCGTTTATTTGAAGAGTTCCTTGAATGGTCATTGGAAAAGTAGATTTGAATACGAATGGTTTCTACTATAGTTTGAGTAGTTACTTCTAATTGAGTTTAATCTAGAGTGGTTTTGTACTGATTATTTTGATTATTTGATCTGCTATTTCTATTTTGAGAATTTCGTAGATCTGGTGATCTTCGCGAAAACTAGTTTGACAGAGGGATTGTAATCTGTTATTGCTATGGCTATTGGTGAATAGTTTTCCTAGCTATTGTTACTTTGAATAAATTTATTTGGTAAACTTTGATTTTTTTTATTGTAATGGTAAAAAGGTTTGCTTGGTTCTCTGTGTTTTGGTGGTCTACTTAATTTGTCTTGTTGTTTTTGTCTGCATTCAGCAATGCTATGCCCATATCTGCGACAATAACTACATCATTTTTTGAATGAAGTTTTGCCTTTGAAATTTGGATTTTTTTCATAGATGTTAAAATATTGAGTATTTTTTCTGCTAGTTCATTATCAGAGTCTTGGATATTATTAATATGTGAAGTTGTTGTTTGAACGGTTTTTACATATTTTTGTTTCAAAATTTCTGTTTCTTCCTCTTTCATTGTAATTTCGGCTTGTTCTAGTTTATCTACTAATTTTCGAAAACTTATCTTGAGGTCCCGGATTGATGATGGTTGTGATGCTCTCTTTTTGTTGCAATTTTGCGTAATTAGGGTGTTAGTGTCAACAGAAAAAATTTGGTCATTTTCTTGTTTTTGTAATCATGTATATTAAGAGAAAAAGCTTTTCGTACTAGGGTTTCAATTCTTACTGCGAGTTGTTTTATCGTTTCGTTTGGAAGTCTGCGAATTTCGTTGCATAAAACTCTTTGATGTTGCTTGTTTCTTTCAGAGTCGAACATTTTTGAGAACTCTTGTATGAATCGTTTCCAACCAGATTTAAGCTTTATAGGTATAAATGGAAACAATTTTTGAGCTGAGCCGTCAATTGGGTTTTGAACTAATACATTACGCCCATGTAGCCAATTTTGTGGTTGAAGTGGTGTATATATTGGTTCTGGACGTATGTTTTAATTAAATTAGCTGTAACTGCATTAGGTAGTCCTCTACTGAATATTCAGGGTCTGTTGCTGTGAACACCATGAGTGGTTTATCAGATTTGATAGATGATCCACCCAGAAAATACGGATTCATTATCGTTTGAAGTGCTTCTGCTCTGTTCGGTATTTGTGTAAAATTTGTAAGTTGAAGTTTTGTAATTTCTTGTTGTTGTAAATAATATGATGAACAAATTTGGTCTTGCACTGGGTTAGGTTGGTAACCTTGAGTGTTTATATGGTTTTTTGATTGCTTATTGTTATTTGGTTGTGCCATTTTTTGTCGTCGAGGAAGATGTTGTTCTGTTTTTCGTGTTTGTTCAAGTAGTTCAAGTAGGGCTCAAAATATCTGTTTGATGATTATCATCTGGTTGGTTAATTTTGTACCAATTGCTTTTTTGGGTTATTATTGTAATGGTGTTGGTTTTGGTTTAAGTAGTCTTCATCTTCAGAATAGTGTGGTTGACTTCTTGTAAATTATTTGTTTGTTGGAATTTTTTGTTGAAAAAGGGTTATTTTTGGTGCAATCTGTTAGAGTTTGTCGAACGTAAAAGCTCAGCCACAGTAAAATTTACAAAACTGGGATGACGATGAAGATTCAGATTCGAATTCGGACTATGAGCCACTACTACCGACAAAAACAATAGCGGATGAGACGGAGGCCGGTCCAAGTACCCGCGGTGCACTAATCACACCGAAACAAGTCACAGAGACGTCAACGGAGAGAACCTTGTCCGACAGAGAACGGCAAAGCACAGGGCGAGAGGTTAGAAACGAAGCGGAAATGATTGGGAAAGCGGAAAGTGTGCCCATTGTAGGCGAAGAGGGAGCGGTGGCGAGCGGAAAGGGTTCAAAGAAAAAGGCGGGACGGCCGAGGAAGCAGTGATTGGTTTCTTAATCCAGTCAGAATTCGCAATATTCGAATGGGACGGGGTCGAGAAAGGGCTCGTGGAAGCGTACGGTGGTGTCGAAATTGGGGGAGTAATGATTGATAGCATTTTCAAGGAGAAGCGAAAGAAGGGGGAAGGAGCGAGAGAACGGGACTCTAACTAAAAAAAATGTGACATCGGAAATCGGGATAACATTCTAAATCAAAACTCTAAACTTTGTATATGAATGTCTTAAAACCCTGAGTCTTAAAACTCAATTCATTTTCTGTTTGTGTAATTTTAAATTACATTCTAAAATTAGTCAACTTGAGGAAATGTCGTTTAAATACATTTCATAGTATGAATAGTTTGAGTTTAGTTGTATGTTTTTTGAGTCTTTTTATTGGCGCCATTGGAGCTGTCTGAGGTTTTGCGTAATTTGAGTAATTTTTTAAGGAACTGCCAGCTGACGTTGTGTGTGTGTGTGGTATCTAAAACAGTTGTAGTTGTTATTGATTTACTGTCAACTTGGAGGATTATTGATTCAGAATTAAAGTATGGAACTCGCGTTTTTCTCAAATCTGTTTACACCTTCCGCACCGCCACCGCTCTCAAAAAATCGACATCCTGTGGGGAGAAGTGAACCCCTGGGGTTGGTGTAGGAGGTTTTCAAGGAGAGGTATACGAAAAAATGCACAAAAAGTTGTATGGGTTGTTCACAATTACAACCCTCTCCCTCCCCATTATAATCGGTTGAAAATTTTTTAAATTGTAATTAAAAAGAAATTGACAACAGAAATCGATTATTATCCATGAAAATCTAGTGCGGGTACAAAGTCAAGGTTTTCAAAGAAACAGTTTTATGCGATACTAAATTTTGTAGATGTTTCTGAGCCAGTGTTTAACTGCAAAACAAACGATAAAAACCGATTCCAAACATTTTTCAAAATAAACAAATTTTTTGCTCGGAGTTTTAAAAGAAGTATACAAACAAGAATAGCCTTTTGCTGTGCAAGTCGCACAGAATGTTCTGACCATATTCATGGAAAAATAGAAAAAACCTTTTTAATGTTCTTTGAATTAATCTTGTTTTAAGCGGTTGGTGTGATTCCAGAACTGTATGATTGCGTAAAGAATTAACAAACTAGGTCTGATCGACAAAATTTAATTTCAAAAATCGAATACTAAACAAAAAAAAAATAAGAAAATACTGAAAGAAATACTGGAAGAAAATACTGGAAGAAAATCCTGAAAGAAATATCTAAAAATAATTTCCTTGATAGTAAAATCAAGTTTTATGAACCTAAAATTATTTTAGAAATAATTAATTTCCATATAACGAACATTACTAGATCGCAATTTTCGCTTGCAATTAAACTGAAAATCAAAAATGTTAAATATTTTAAACCAGTTTTTCTGAACACTGGGAAAAACTTTTGAAATTCTATTGATGTCGTTCGAATCACAACTGAAAGGGCTTCAATATGATATACCACTCAACTCTCTCCGATGATTATTGGTGGTTGTTAGTTTTGCGTCACACAATGCTTTATCCCAGTTCACGTTTCAATGTACCTCGCATCGAATTCACTTCAGAATTTCTCTCAGGAAATTTTTCATAGAAGTTTCGCTGAAATATCTGAAATGAAGTTGGGTTTCAACCTAGTCTCGCTTTTGCTAGTGGTTGTTACATATCTGGTAACGGAAGTAATTTCCGAGTAAGACTAAACTCAGTATTAGACTAAAGAGTTTCATGACTCTATTTGCTCAAAAACAGATAGCATGACGAGCAGAATTTACCGGAGACAACTCTATGAGATACCGCGATTTTTTTTTAACTTACCCCGGGCACAAAGTTTGCATTTTCACTGTACTTTTGCATGCTAGTATAACTAACTGCGGCGTGCTCATTTTGAGAAAATTTAATGAATTTTCGGCTCTTTTCCAGTTTCCCCCAGTTCAATTTTGAAAAGTCTATTCAACGTTGTCATAATGCAATGAAATTTGGCGTGGCGAACAAATCGACAATTCTGAACAGACTTGTTCTTCATACTTTACAGCGTAACATCACGCATTTAGACGTAATAACACCTAAAACAAACATAAAACTCGGTATTTTGAAAGGGGGGAAACTGGAAAAGAGCCGAATTTTCAAATAGGGGGAGTGAAAAAAGCCAATACTGCTTTGGTCCCATCTTGCATGCTAATTTTTCAATTCCAAACACAGTTAGTCTTGAACTTCAGACAAATAACCAATTCTTAGTAGCTTCATGAAGCAATACTCGACTAAAACTAATTTTGCTAAAATTAACTGCAAAAAAGCGATGAATTTCTTGAGTTATACTATATATATTTAATTGGTTCGTTGCAGAAGTAGGCTTAGTTCACGATCGACTGCTGTAGCGAGTAGAAGAGGGTCGAGAGCTACCGGTGACCGCTGACGGTCTTGCTTCGGGGTAGGCGGTCGGTTTCCTTGTGCTGCCTGTGTTCACTGTACTTGGCCTTACGCTACCGCTTGCAGTTAAATTTTCCCTTGATCCCCCATACATCCCGGAAGCACGTGATCCAGCTTGTGATCCAGCACGTGACATGTTGTGAGATCCGCCGCGAGAGTAACCCTGAGAACCTCCGCCTGGTTGGTAGCTTTGGGAGCCAGCAGCTGACATCTTTTGTGACCCAGAGGGTGCATACGCCTGCGAACCAGATCGTGACATGTTCTGAGAACCAGCACGAGAGTAACCCTGAGAACCCCCGCCTGGTTGGTAGCTCTGGGAACCGCCAGCTGACATCCTCTGCGACGCAGAAGGTGCATAAGCCTGCGATCCAGCTCGTGACATGTTCTGAGACCCAGCACGAGAGTAACCCTGTGATCCTCCGCCTGGTTGGTAGCTTTGGGAACCGGCAGCTGACATCCTTTGCGACGCAGAAGGTGCATAAGCCTGCGATCCTGCTCGTGACATATTTTGCTGCGATCCTCCCCGTGAGAAGGACTGTGAGCCGGGACGCGACATAACGCGTGAACCAACTTGAGAGCCCGCTCGTGATCCTGGTCGGGACCCTACTTGTGAACCGGCTCGTGATCCGCCGGCAGAGAACGAATTTCCCTGAGCCTGGGATGGCCTTGGACCCCCTTGGGTCGCATACGAGTAACGAATTGTAGGTTCGGACGTTCGGGAGTTTGCATATGGTTTGGACTGATGAGAGGCAGATGTGGGGTGTTTGGATACTCGGTACCTCGTGCGACCTGACTGCCCAGTGGACGACGGACGGTACCCACCACCGCCTTGAAGTTCAGCAGATCCCATTGATGCAGCTCCGTGGTTGTGATGCATAGATTGCCTGGATGGATGAGATCCCGAACCTCCCCCAGAAGCCAAAGTTCTACGCTGTGACGGCCCTCCAACTTGGGATCCTCTCTGGCTAGGCAAAGGAGTGATTCCTTGATCGTCACCACACCAGTTGTCCGGACCAGGGTATGAAGGCCGTGGGTTTATTATGGGAGGTGGATGGGGCGGCTGCTGCTTGTGCCCTGAAACTATAACAACCATGCCACTATTACCGTTTTCAATCCTTGGTTGCACGCTTCCGGGATCAACGTCTTGGGGAATCGAGACACACTGGAAAAACTTAACGCCTTCGAAGCCACGAGTAGGTACGCTTTGCCGACCGAACCTCTCCGAAGCACATCCTTTCACTGTAACATCTTCTTGAGATATCTGCACGTCAATTTCATCTTCTTGTAGACCGCTACAGTCGAAAATTGCCATCCATCTGTCTGCTTCGTTATGTATTTCAGGCGCTTGGTGACTTGGGTAGTTTGGTCTTTGACTGTTCATAGCTTGAGCAGATAGTCTTCCCTGGCTTTGAGGCATAGAAAGACTACCACTCTGTCCACGACTCTGGCTTATAAAAGACATTTTTATATTGTTTTCCTTGTTGTTCAACAATTAAGATGTTTTTTTTGTTGTCTTCGTTTTGTAGTTGAATTTTTCAAAGCGTGAGTTTAGTTATTTTGCTTATATTTTTCGCGGGATTTTTCAAAAGATGGCATCGAATCAAAAAGTCATTTTCAATTTATCGGTTGTATACACTGAGGCTCTTTTTCTTTTTCCCCCCACCTCACATATCCATCAGTTTTATGTTGTAACGAGGGGTTTTACAAGGTTAAGTATGAGGACCAAATAAGTTTTTCATAGTGAGTTGAAGTCCGGGGTGGCTCACTCATAGAGTAATTTCGGCTCTTTTCCAGTTTCCCCCTTCAAATTCAATTTTGAAAAGCTTATTTAACGTTGTCATAATGCGATAAAAATTGGCGTGGTGAACAAATCGACAACTGTGAACAGATTTGTTCCCCATGTTTTACAGCGTAACATCACGCGTTTAGCCGTAATAACACGCAAAACAAACATAAAACTCGGTATTTTAAAAGGGGGGAAACTGGAAAAGCGCCCTAATTTCAGATAAGCTACACCGTCTGTTCGTGACGCTATCTTTATTTCAGCCGGATAGATTCGTGAAACTTCTTAGTCTAACACCGATCTTGATCTTAATCTTATATTCCTAGTCTGAATAGATCTAGTGTATACTGGAATTTGCGAGGTTAGATATCAGGAACTGTTCTGGAGAAGAACAACTACTTGCTAACCTAAATAAATTCTGTTCTGGCTGAAACTATAAATAGTTTGAGCGTTACAAATTTTTGTAAGTGTTAGTTATGGATCATGATTGGTTAATAAGAAGTATTTTATAGAGATAGTTTTAACAATAAAATAATTGTATAAAAATACTAGTTTTAAACTGGTTCCACCCATTCGAGGTTTAGAAAAAAATTTTAAGTTAAATGTTTGTTGTTGTGAAGGATCGATGGATAAGTTTTTGTATTCAGGGAGTAGATCCTTTTGAAGCAGTGGTTGCGTGAACAGGAGAAGGAATCAGTTGCTCGTGTTGAGGAGTAGTTGGCTTCGTAGAGAAAGAATGGGTACAGTTAATCGTTCTTCAGAAGTGGGTCTCGTATATCCAGATTTTGTTGAGTGATCGTGTTGAGTGGTCGTGTCAAGATTTCAGATTTATACAAAAATTTATTGATTTCGTTAAGTTAGAGCGAGACTACGTGCATTCTCAACTGTTCATAGAACAGAGAGATAGTGTTTGGCTTCCATGTGTGAAGCGCCAAGTGACTAGGATTCGTATGTGAGTTTAACATCGAGTTGGCCATGTTCTTCTTCAATGGGTGCCTTTGCTGCGACGTTGGTTGCAAACTTTAAATCCTGTGAGGGTTGTGACTACGTCAACAAACCAAAGGATTTGCCATTCCAGAGCCGGACTGTCATCGAGTTTTCATCTTCATTCGCTGCTCGTTTCTTTGCCCTGAGAAATCTTTTTACATTGTATATTTATATCTGCATCTTATTAGTAAGACCAGTTTTAATTCTTACTTTATCAGTTGTTGTGGCAAAAGCGTTTTATTAGTTGGGTTATTATAAAGAATCGCTCACCCTAGAGCTACTCCTAGTAAAAATTGTGTGTCGGGATCTTAGCACATGGTGGGCACATGAACCTCGAGTGACGTCGTTCTGGTGGGTGAGGACAGAAGATTGTGTATTTTACCGTCTCTTTGAGCAGAGTCTCTTTTTGTGTTTAATTTTTGTTCTTTTTTATCAGGTATTTTTCTTGTTTTTTTCTCGGGTTGTGTATTTTTTCACAAAACGACATAGTTCGTAAAATGTTGGCGAGGGGTTTTGAGAAAAGTGAATTTTTATAAAGGCCCACATAAAATGGTTAGTAACATTTATTTGTTTGATGAATAATTTACTTATTCGTAAATTAAGTTTACAGCACTTTTAATCAATTATTGCTCTAATTATAATTTGACTTCACTGATATAGTTTATGGTTCATCGTCAGATGAAAGATCAAAAAGTCTAAATAGAGTTTAATTTTTATTTCTTCTTGTTTTATTTTATTCTTTTAAAGAAATGACTTGTGAAATCTTAAAGAAAAAGGTGAAACACAATTCTAGAAATGGTGGGTGATTTGTTTATTGGGGTTAGTGAGAAAATAAATTCATACTTACGAAGATTCTGGGTCGGCAAAAATTCAATGGGAAAGTTAGTTTTAATAATGTCGTAAATTGTTAAAAGCCTGGCAAGCATGCGTATTACACTTTTAGTGCGGAGCAGTGGCAAAAGAAGTTCAAGCGCTCTGATGATATTCACCTCTTTGAGGACAGCTGGAATTTTGCGGAGGGAATGTTGTATTAGATTGTATAAAATTTGGTTAAATTTACAGTTATGTATTTTTTCTTGTAGGGCTATTTCGATGGGATGTATATATTGGGATGATGATAGGCGGGAATCTCCGAGTAAGAAACTGTTAGTTAAGGGGCAAAAGATGTACATCTGACGGACAGGGTCGTACTTACGGAGAATGCCGTGTAAAATAGTGGATTTAATACAAAATGTGAAGTTTAAGAGGTAAGGAGATGTCTCTTTAGAATTAATGAACATGAAGCAATGATGTGGGTTGAGGGATATTGAACTGTGGAGAAAGTGTCGTTGGATGAAACAATAATTATATAATTGTGCAATAATTTAGTTTTCCACGTGAGTTCATGTGAACAGTGAATATATTTTTCTGTTGGTGTTAGAAAGTTAAATGTAAGTGCAAAGTGTTCAAAGTTACTGAAGAAGGGTTCGTAAGCTTTAGTGTTTGATATTGTGTGGTCTATAATATGGTCGATTTTTTCTCAGTCCTTTTTAGATGGAAAATATAATCTGAGCTGAATTATTTCCGCGTTGAATTTACGGTCAATGTCAAATGGTGAATCTTCCATTTATCCATTTATCTGACAACAATATAATTGTAATGATTAAGGTTATCTGTTAGCTTTTTTTGCAATGGATCTACTTAATGTTTGGTTTAGTCCTATTTGCATTCTGATTAACGCAAAGTTCGCTAGCTAATTGAAGAATGATAGAGTAAAAAAGTTCGTAATTGTCGGGAGTTTTTCTTATGGATTCTTTTAGTGGTTTAACAAAGTTATAGTAGAAAATCCTTGAAATTGTGGGGAGTAGGGAATGTTCATCTACACACTGTGCTCAATGGGCTGCGTTCTCTCCATTGTAGTAGGTATAGTGGAGGAAAAAAGGAAGGTTCTGTATTAAAAATTCAGGTGCATTCGTATGATATGGGTAGTGGGAATAAAATCGGGATGATTGTGGGCGGCCAATGAGCAGTTGTGGATTAGCGTCAGGGTATTTTGCGTTTCATAAAAATATGTGTGCACGCGTAGAGTAAAATAAAGACAGAGGGGAGAGAGGAGTCGGAGATTGAAGTTGAGTGGGTTAGTTGATGAATTGCTAATGAATTAATTTGGTAATGAATCTGCTGCTGCTGAGTAAAAAAGTAATCTAAATCATGCTCTAGTTGGTCGTCTGTGATTGGGCTGGTTGCAACGGGTGCATTACTTGAGAGATGTTAAAGAATAGCGGTAAAGTCAATGTGAGAGTAAGAAGAAAGAGAGGGTTTAACAGTTATAGGTGGAGTTCTGGGATCAAAAATTGCTTGAGAAAAATTAGTGGGACTGTTTCCAGAGTCGAGGAATTAATCGGTAGTTTCTATTAAAACTAGGTATGGTTTTGAAAACTGTTTGAAGTGAATCATCTGAGTCGATGCGTGCTGAATTACAAGAAAACTGGGTAAGGAGGTAGAGGTGAGGTCTGAAACTCTAATGAGGAAATTGTGGCGGTGGAGATTGGATGGATAGAAAAGGGAACGGGTGAGGGATCCCATTTGGCGACTCATCGTGGGCTAAAAAGATGATTGTTATGAGAACGAAATTTTCGGGTGTGCGGTTGTTCATCAATTTGTTCATATGTGTCGACAATTGTGGGTGGTTGGAGTGCTATATGAGATATGGGGCTTCGTTGTAAGTTACTAGAATGAAGTATCCGTTCGATGAACAAGAGTAATTTTCTATAACTTTGTTGGACTAGTGATAGAGGATGAATTTTTGTAAACTGTGTTGAAATTGATGGTGATATAGGTGTCGTATTTATATTTTCCTGCGGAGAGTCGTATGTCTTTAGTTTTGTAAAAAACATTTTTTTATATTCGCCAACTTTTGAGTCAAGAAGGATTTTGTTAATGAAGATGGAAAGTTTTCCTTAAAATCCTGCGAATAAAATGCGTTCTACGCTAGTTTCTCTATTGACTTGTGGATGTATTGAGCAAGTATTATAGATTTCTTTTATTAGTGAGAGGAGGATTTCTGTGGAATTAAACATTGGTATAATATAGTCAACCTTTCTAAGATATATTAGGGCCATCCTATAAATGCTAGGTTTTCATTTTTTCTTTTTAAGACACAAAAATTATTGATAGGTGAAACATCTTGTGGGCAAAATTATTCTCTGTTTAGGTATTCATAGTTTTTAATGTCTTAAAAATATCCACTGTAATCTTGTCGGTAGATGTCTGAAAAGAAGCTTGCTGTTTCATCGAGTTTTGTAATCAATGAAGTTAGAGCGGTTGCCTGATAAGTGGTATCCTGCATAAGGTAGTTTCAATCCAGCTAAAGCGAGATACTGTTGTAGTGTTTGTGTTCGCCATACACAATGTAGTTATTCTAATTCGGAAAGAGACTGTTCATTGTGTAATCTAATTTCACATCGAGGTGAATGTCGTAGTGAATTGCGCCAAAATATGTGTTATTCACTAGTGATAGTTCTTTTAGCCTGGCACCATCTTGATTTTTCCATGATTTTTTTAGTGTTAACGGGATGAAAGATGTTTTGTCTTCACTATTTCTAATTAGGTCGGTCAACCCTGCAATTAGTTTGCCTGTTTTAATGTCGAAACGTTTTTCTTAATCGACAAAAATTTCTGAGTATAGTGTTCGGAAAAATGGTTTGGATGCT